CCGGCCCCCCCGGCACATCGCGGTGTTCAGGGGCTCGACCCCTCCACCCGCATCCCACCAGCTGTTATCTTTCTTTGCCTGTCTGAAGGGGGTTTTGGGGGTGGTTACAAAGAAGACACCCCCATCCGCTGTTTTTTTGCCTTAGACTCTAGAGGAGGGGACGGGAGGGAGGGGAGACCCATGGGCGTCACCCAAGAAAACAGCAGTCCTGCCAAACTGTTTTTTTCTAGATGTCTCAGTTCAATGTCTTTATTTTTTTAACCCTATTTAGGGACCTTTTTAAGGGTCGGCGATGGTTGAAAAGAAAATTTGGGGCAGAATAAAAGCATTGGCGTGTTGGCATCGTGTGGGTATCTCTGTGCTGGGGATGGGGCGGGGGCTGCGTGGGTGGGAGAGATGGTTTTGGGGGGGTGAACCAAAAGAATTCCACAGTTTTGGGGGGAGCCAGGAGAATCCTCTGCTCCTGGAGGGTGTAAGACCCCAGGAAGGGGTGTGGGGCTGGCGTGGAGACCCCGGAGCTGGGATCGCGCTCTCCGTCCCTCTCCGTTTCCCTTGGGTGCTGAGGGAGGTTCAACCCAAACCACGGATGGGGCTTATTTGGGGCCGATGGTTGTGCTGGAGGGGCGCAGCATCCATCCAAAACACGGACACCACGAGCCCACGTGTCCTCCTCACCCCTCCACCGAGTTGTCCCGACGCTCCCATCCTCGTAGCACCATCAGGAAAAGCCAACCCTGGAGATGTTGAGCCCCAGCCTGGGTGAAAACGAGGTGTTTTGGGTTCAACGAGGCCACACCAAGGAGACGGGTGAAGGAAAAGTTTATTGCAGCTGAGTTCCTGACTATTTTTGGGAGCGCGAATGGAGGAAGAGCAGGATGTGGAGTTGGGCCCTGCTCCTCTCCATCCCTAAGATGCCTCAGGAGCCTCTTGAGAAGCCCCTTGGACAACTCAGAGAGTTTATTCATCCGAAGACGAACCGTAGATGGGCGGGATAGAGGTCGCACGATGCCACCTAACAACATCACATGAAAAAACCCCCAACAAACAACCGTAAATGAGGAAAAACGCCACTTGGTGTGTCCCAACGGGGTTGTGGGACCGTTTCCACCTCATTTCTTCCTTCCCAAAGCAGCAGAGTCTCAAGAGTTGTCTTCAAAATCTTCATCTGTGCCCAAATCCATCCATGTTTTGGCTGTGGAAGAAGTCCGTGGTCCATAGGGTGCTGCTTGATCCCACCAGGAACAATTATTGGACCAAGCAGAGGTGACTTTTCGGAGTCTAAAGCCAGTGAGTCCGCTCTCCCTAACGAATTCCTGCCATGGGTCTGCACCCCAAAGCTGAGCCCATCTCAGCAAATGGATGTTCCCACCTGCATTCATCCAGGGAACGGATGAAAAAGGGGAACCAGGACCACCAGCCAGGTCTCTACCCAACGTGGGTCGCCAGGTCTCTACCCAACGTGTGTCCTCCGATGGGTTATGAAGTTGGAACAGCGGATAAAGCTCTTCCCGCAGTCGGGGCACTCGTAGGGTTTCCCTTCCCGGTGGGTCCTTTGGTGTTTAATCAAGGCAGAGCTCACGGTGAAGCTCCTACCGCACTCGGGACACTCGTAGGGCTTCTCCCCGGTGTGGATGCGTTGGTGGGTCATGAGGTTGGAGCTGCGGTTGAAGCTCTTCCCGCAGTCGGGGCAGCGGTAGGGTCTCTCGCCCGTATGCGTCCGCTGATGCCGGATGAGATCCGAGCTGTTCCTAAACCATTTCTCACAGTCAACGCACCTGTAGGGCTTCTCGCCGGTGTGGACGCGTTGGTGGATGATGAGGCTGGAGCTCTGGCTGAACGTCTTCTCGCACTCGGGGCACTTGTAGGGCCTCTCCCCGGTGTGGATCTTCTGGTGGCGGATCAGGTAGGAGCTGACGCTGAAGCTTTTCCCGCACTCGGGGCACTTGTAGGGTCTTTCCCCGGTGTGGGTGCGTTGGTGGGACGTGAGGTTGGAGCTCTGGTTGAAGCCCTTCCCGCAGTCGGGGCACTTGTAGGGTTTCTCCCCGGTGTGCAAGCGTTGGTGGGTGATGAGCGTGGAGCTGTCGCTGAAGCTCTTCCCGCAGTCGGGGCACTTGTAGGGTTTCTCCCCGGTGTGCAAGCGTTGGTGGGTGATGAGCGTGGAGCTGTCGCTGAAGCTCTTCCCGCAGTCGGGGCACTTGTAGGGCTTCTCCCCCGTGTGCAGCCGTTGGTGGGTGATGAGGTGGGAGCTACGGCTGAAGCTCTTCCCGCACTCCAAGCACTTGTAGGGCTTCTCGCCGGCGTGCAACCGCTGGTGCACCACCAGGTTGGAGCTACGGCTGAAGCTCCGACCACATTCCTCGCAGATGGTCGGTCTTTCCTCCTCCGAGCTTCCTGGGATGGATTTACAACCTCCCCCCGTGGAGCATCGTCTTGGTTTTTCCACCCCGTTGACCTCCGGCTCCGTGGAGCCATTCGAAACAGCCTCTTCCGCGAGGTTGGGGTTCTCCTCCGTGTCCTCCATCCCCATCTCGTCACCTGCCGGAGGAAGGAGCACGGAGAGGAAGGGGATTTGCATCCGTGCCAGAGGGAAGGGGAAGGAGATCCTCCCGGATCCGTCGCCGGGAGCACGGCATCAGCAACGTGGCTGTCCTGCAGCCGGAAGCAACACTCGGCTGGAAGACGGAGGAGAGAGGATGAAGGTCACGGGAATTCCTCCTCACCTGCCTGGGTATCCCGCAGCATCTCCTCTTCCTCGCAGCTTCCTCCTCTCGATCTTGGCAAAGGTTGGGAATGGGAAATCCTGGTTTTGGCGGGGGGGAAAATCCCAAGCTGGGAGCGCGTTCCCCAGTTTGGGTTGTGGGTTGCTCCTGCCCAAGTCCATCCGTCAACGGGCAGGACACCACCAGCTCCTTGTGTCCATAAAAACCTCCAAAACGCCAC